ACTAACGAAATAATAACAAAAAGAATTTGCACACACACAAATACAAATGTATCCATGAGGGTTTTGAACCCCCCATGTGTGTGCATTATCTCAACACTGCATTTAAAAAACCCACACAGAGAAACAAAGTTTTAAAAACCCTGCATTTGGTAAAGAAACTAGAGAAAATATGCATGGCTTTGTCATCAGTCTAAGTTGCCACATACTTTCTTTAGAGAATGAATATTACTTTAAGAGAAAAATTAAAAAGTTGAGTCTCTGAGCAATGAAAATATTCCAAATGACAAGAGTCTACTACTCTAGCCCCATCCACCCCCTATACACACACACCTCCCCCAGTCTGACGCAGGGTGAGGCAAAAGGTCAAGGAAATGAGGTCTCTCTCTGTGACCTAGGGTCTTCCCAATGGGGGTCTCTGAGCAACAAGAGGGTTCCTCTGATCAACTGCTGTCAAGGGCCCTTCTTCTCCCCCAAGTCTTACTCCAGCCTGAACTAATTCATCACAATCCTCAGAGCTGGGAAAAAATTTCCACCATGGTGATTTGGAACTTGATCTTTAATCCCAGTTTTTCCCAGCCCCCTGTGTGTCAAAGGAGGCCCATCAAAGCCTCTTAGACAACTAAGTCAGTTTAGATCCCACATCAAGGCTACTTTGTTGTTGTTATGTGCTGCGGAGTTGGTTCTGACTCATAGCGACCCTGTACAGGGTTTCCGAGGCTGTAAATCTTTATGGGAGCAGAAAGCCTCATCTTTCTCCAGCAAAACAGCTGGTAGCTTCTAACTGCTGACTGTGAGATTAGCAGCCGGATTGGTAACTACTATGCTACCAGAGTAGAGCAAAATTCCAGCTGTCAGTCAAGTCCAAGGAAATGTAGAGGAGGTGCCACAGCAAGGACAGTCACACAATCTCATCCTCGTTTTCTGGAAACCTCCTTCCCAAGGGATATGTTGTTGTTAAATGTCGTGGAGTCCGTTCCGACTCATATCCAGGGCTTTGTCTGGTATCAGAACATTAAGACTTAAGTCTTAGTTTCAAATCTGTTTTTAGTCAGCAAAGAGAAAAACCAGGGGGTACAAACACACCAAAGGCTGTCCTTTCAGAGCCCTTAAAATCCGCTGCCTCCCCTTTCTAAGGAAAGTTCAGTACCAGCCAAAATACTAGCTTCTGAGAAGCTGGGTGTGGGTTGAAACTAAAACACAGACTGAGGCTCTATCAAATCAGAGATCGGCTCTCATTCTGGTATTGATAAAGAGGAGTCCTAACCCCACACTCCTCAAAGCCTGATAGAATAAAGGGGAAGAAGGAAGAATCCCAAAGTAACAGCATATATCTTCTCAACCTTTTTAATTTTAGGGCACACCTAAACAATACTATTTGTACATGTTGTGGGTGGTATGCCATTGAGTTGATCCCGACTCATTTGACCCCCTAGGACAGAGTAGAACTGTCCCCATAAGATTTCCAAGGTTCCAGTCTTTACAGAAGCAAAGATCGCCACATTTTTCTCCCAATAGCTGAGGTGCCAACCTCAAGGTCAGCAGCTCGGAACTACCAGCAGTTCCGCGGAAGATGAAGCATTCTGCTCCCATAAAGATTTACAACCTCAGAAACCCTGTGCAGGGTCACTATGAGTTGGGACCGACTCCATGGTACTTAACAAAAAGTGGGTTCAAACTGCTGACCTTTTGGTTAGAAGTTGAATGCTTAACCACTACCCTACCAAGGTTCTTTCCAACTGGGGACCACAGCTACCCCCAGGGATGAAGGGAATCAAGATTTCTGTACACCTGTGATTAATATGCATCACACAGCAGGGAAGCTCTGTATTAGGGCACTGGACTGAGTTAGGAGTTTTGGAATCAATGTTCTGGACAAATAATCTCATGGTCTGAGACCTCTGAACTCTCCAACCTGGGTTGACAGACATACAGATCGGATCTGGTATCAGCACCAGAAAGCTGGAAACCTGTGGTCTTGACTCAGCACTGATACAACTTCCCCTACCCCGCTGTGGTATTTTTTTCAGCAGGGGGTTTCCTCAGATACCTCAAGGCTGGGGAAACCCTCCCTGATAACATCAGGCATATCTCGAGACTGAGTATACAGAATGGGGTAATTGGCTTCATCAGATTTTTTAACTTAAAACCCCTTTTTGGGACTACACGTCATCTCATAACTGAGTCACTACTGAGAGTAAGGAACTGAAACACTATCATTTATGGAGTACGTAGTAGATGTCAGACTCTGCTAACTGAGCACTTGACTTCCAATGTCATATAAGTCCACACAACAACCTCATGTGACAAATATTATTATCCCCTTTATAAGGAGAAACTGGGACTAGTAACTTGTTCAAGGTCAAACCTCTCTAACTGGATACTACAGAAAATTAGTATTTGAATCCACTTTAATATGAAAGTGCATATGCTTAGCCAGTACACCAATGTTGCCTCAACAAACTTCCCAAACAGCTTTTTCATAAACCAAATCCAATTAATAGCGAAGCTGACAACCTGAGAAAGAAATAGCAACTTCTCTGACTGTTTCATAGCATGACAAAAAGAAGCTAATTTACACTGAGCACCTCACTTAGAGAACTTTATATACTGTTGTTGTTAAATGCCTTTGAGTCATTGATTCCGACCCATAGCGACCCTGTATGGGGTTTCCAAGGAGCAGCTGGTGAGCTTGAACCACCAACCTTGCAGTTCAAATGACTTTGCAGTCTGATGCATTAACCCACAGCACCACAACTGGGGCTCATCTAATTCTCACAACCCTACTGGGGAAGAAATTATTAACCCCATTTTACAGATCAGGACATCTAGGCTCAGAGAAGTTAAGACATTTGCTAAGACAGGACCTTTGCTTTTTCTACTATGCTCCGCTTTGCCTAACTCTTCAGGAAATACACCTGAGCCTGTTTCAGGGCTAACTGTTCAATTCACAGCCAGTGCTGTGGACAACAGATAGTAGAAAAGGCATTCATCAAGAGCAGTGGAAAGTGGAATCTTGAAGAGCACTCAAAGAACAACAAAAAGCCCCCAAGAAAGCATGTTTTCCCTGTGTTGGAAAACTAAGGTAAATCCCCCTCCAGCCCTGAGACAATTTACTAGTCCTGGCCTGCCCTGTTCTAACTTCAGCAGTAGCAGCAGCAGCTCAGGCATACAGAAACAAGACCAAAACAAAAGCCACGAGGAAACAAATCAAAACTATACAGAAAGGAAGGCTTGTAAGTGGGTGGTCCAGTCCCCTGCTTGACTTGGGCTCCCTACACCACATGCATTTTGTGAGTATTAAGCCATCAATTTGCCAACTAAACAGCCTGGCCAACCAGGCTCCAATGAGGATGTGATGGACTCTGGCTCTGAGCTCTCACAACAAACGACCCCTACCTAAGCCAGCTCCAGACCCAGCCCATCCCTTTCTCTCCAATTTCTGTGGCTAACACATGCCAGTTTGGTGGGGGCTTTCACGCCCTGACCCGAGGACAGATTCCCTCCCACTCTTTTCCTAACAGTTAAGCTCTTGTTCTCAAGGGCACCAAGTCCCCAGTCTCTCCTCCTCAGCCTCTGGGATGACCACAGCACATTAGTAATCACTGACTCACCCTATCCTCCTGAGGAGACTGGGGAAATGCAGAGGGCCTCAGGATGTGTGACCGAGATCCCTTTGCCCATTTGTAGAGCTGGCAGGCAGAGAGGTGCCCGCAGAAGCACCACTTCCTCTAGGAACACGATGGACACTCTCTGGGCTGGCTCTTATGCCAGTGGGCTGATGTCAGGCTCTCCACCATCAGAGAGGCCAGGATCTCTAGACAGATCCACTGTCGCCAACAGATCTAATCTCTCTATTCCATGGCAGATGAAATCCAATACGGCTGTTAAGTCCACAATTTATCCCTCTCCTCACAAGCAAAGGCAAAGTTGGTCCTTCGGGCCATACCAACAATAACAGCATTAATACTGCCTCTTAGAGAGTTATTAAGGGAACTGGGAACTATTTTCCCCAAGTTTCTCAAAGCTTTATTTCTGTTAGTAAATGTTCTATCAATTGGTTCACTCTTTCTCCAAAATTTCATTTTCAGTTCCAACATATGTTCTGGCTCCATCCCAGCTCAGATCCTCTGTATCCAGAGAACCACTGATATCAATATTCAATTCCCACACCTCAGTAAAAACCCAAAGTCAGTTCTAACAAACCCATCTATGTGGATCATTTGGAGCTACAGAAACAGTGAAAAAACGCACAAGCAAAAGAACACAACCCAGCCACTAGGGTAAAGGAGGCAGGATGATTTGCTGTATTGTTTCAATTGGAAAAATACACTGTAAAATGGCTTATCCACATGTTCTGCCCTTATAGCAAATCCACTATAAGTGAGCAGGATGCCAGCAGCTTTTTTCTGAAACTAAGTAGGATGGCATCTCGTTTTATTCCATCCCCTTTAAGAGCCAGCCCTCCCTTCTTTTCCTCTCCCCACCTCAAACATCTGGTCTGTGCTAGGAGTGGGACCCACTCCCTGGGAAGTCTCCACGTTAACATTGGGGGCGCTCTCCCTTCCTTACTTAGGCTGAAGAGTGGGCCAGGCCGAAGTGTCTTCAGAATCCCCCCGCGCCGAGATTAGAGGGTTTGGGAATGAGAATTGTAGGGACCCGGGACAACTGACCGGAGAGTGAGAGAAGTTAAGGGCAGCAGAAGGGGGAGGGAAGGGCAGAAAAGTGTGGATCCTGGGGGGTGGGGCAGGCGCCTGGCTGAGGACCCCTCCTCCCTAAGTGCCCAGCGGTTGAGGCGTTGATCCTGAGAGCCCCTGACCCCGATGGGGCTGCCCGGCCGGTCAGAGACTACTCTGGGCTGTCCGAGAAGGCATTGGAGGCCAGGGTTTGTCGGGGGCCCTGAATGAGAGTTAGGCCGAACCCGGGAATCCGCACAAAATCCCACCCGGGGCGTGGGGACCGGGAGTTGGTAGGAGGGGGAAGGCGCGGGGCTCAGCTCTCACCAACACCAGGGCGAACCTCTCCTCCAGCTCACAGGGCTCAGGCATCGGCATCTTGCCGGGCGGCAGCAGCAGCGGGACAGAAGGCGGCTCGCCAGGACCCCCCTCGGCGCTCTCCAGGTTACCCATCCCGGCGGGCCCCCTCGGGGGCCTCAGCCTCCCACCTCCAAGTCCGGGAACCTTGGGCTCGGCCGCTAGGACCCAACTCCTCCCTCAGCGCCGGCTAGCCCAGTCCCGACTCCTCGACCCGACGGCAGCGCACAGCGAGGGCGGAGGCGGTGCAGCGGAGAGCAGCACTGAAGCGACGGGCACAGCAGCGGCTGGCTCTTTGCTCACACCGGCCGCCTCGCTGCTCTCACAGCGCAGTCCCAACGCTGCCCCTCCTCGTACCTCCTCTATCCCCCGCCCCGTGCTCTTTCCCTACCCCCTCCTTGCTTCCTCCCACCCACTCCCGGCCGGTACTCAAACTCCCCCCGCGATCGCCGACTGCAGCCCGCACCGCGCGCCCCATTCATGCAGGCTCCGCCTCCCGCCTACTGGCCTCCCGGGCGGCCTGCCCCGCCCCCGACTGAGCCCGATTGACAGCCTCATCTGCCAATGACAGAACCTCCCGCCCTCTGCGGTCTTGCGTCTGATGCCGAGCGCGCTCTAGTGGCCCCGGTAAGCATCGAGTCGCCTAGGTTTTAAGCCGGTGTGAGACGCTTGTGTAGTCGGTTGCGATAGCGACCCTGCAAAGGGTTTCCGAGGCTGAAAATCTATAGGAGAGCAGAAAGTTCCATCTTTCTCCCGCAGAACGGCTGGTAGCTTCGCATTGGTTAGCAGCCAGACTCGTAGCCACTAAGCTACCAAAGCTGGACTTGTTAAGTGCCGTCGAGTCGGTTCCGACCCATAGCGACCCTGAACAGGGTTTCCGAGGCTGTAAATCTTTACGGGAGCAGAAAGCCTCATCTTTCTCCCGCAGAGCAGCTGGTAGTTTCGAACTGCTTACCTTGTGGTTCGCAGCCCGATTCGTAACCACTACGCTACCAGAGCTGGACTAGGCGCCCCCAAACTGACACAGCTCTTTTTCACAAAGAGTTCGCGATGTATGCAAATAAATAAAATACAAGACACAGTGTGCAAAGCTAACAAGAGAAGTAGAAATGATTAGGATACTCAGAAAAGGGCAAGAAGAGATCACATCTATTGAGAGTTATTTTAAGAAAGGTCATATTTCAACTTGGTAGGTTTAGAGGGATGGTTGTTAAGTGCTGTGGAAGTCAGTTCTGACTCATAACCCTATATAGCGTTTCCAAGGAGCTGCTGGTGGATTTGACCCGCCGACCTTGCAGTTAGCAGTCTAGTTAGTGCTTATCCTACAGCGCCACACCAGAATTCTATTGTGTTGTTGTTAAGTGCAATCGAGTCTGTTCCGACTCATAGTAACCCTTAATAGGGGTTTTTAGGAGCAACTGGTGGGTTTGAACTGCTGACCTTGTGTTTAGCAGTCAAGTGCTGATCCTACAGAGCCACACCGGGAGCCCACTGAGGGAGGACCTTAAAGACAGAGAGACACGAAGGTATATTTAGGAGGTGAGGATCTTATCAAAGTTCAGAGGTTCTGCTAACCATGTGAAAATGGAGAGGCAGGAAAAGAATGCTATTCTGGGCTAGGTGAGTTGGCTCGTCATCATTTCTGCCAGCCTGGCACTCATCTGTCTTGTGGTGATAGCACCCCATTTCAGTTTAGGGCACCACAATTCCTCTGTTCTCAGAACAGGTGGAGCTGAACGTCATCCACTCAATGGGCTGCATGACTCAGGCGGAACAATCACAGCATTTTCTGACCTTATATAAGGGTGGCAGTTCAAAGCTGGCACCCACCAGCTACTCCTTGGAAACCCTATACAGGGTTACTATGAATGGGACACTTAAAAACAACAAGAACCCTCAGAGTCTGGTTTAGGGATTGAAATATGACCTAAACCCAGATTATTAAACTCATGTCCAAGATTTTTACAATTAGGAAAGAGACTCTTTCTATTAGAGTTGTTAAATTGTTCAAATGTAAACCTGGAGCTACTGGTGGGCACCACACATTTCTCAAGCTTTCTTAATAATGAAGACAATGCAGAGGAAAACAAAGATAAGAGACAGAGTTCTAACAACATGTTAAGAACCTGGGTCTAACCATACCTGAAGTAAATCCCTGGACAGTCAACAAATATTTATTCTAAAAGCATACTATATATCAGATATGAAGTCCTGGTGTGGTGCTGTAAGATAAAGCACTGGACCACAAGGTTGGTTTGAATTACAAGGTTGGTGGTTCAAGCCTACCAGCTGCTACTAGGAAACCCTACACAGGGTCGCTATGAGTCGGAATGACACTTAACAACACAACATATTAGATATAGTTCCAAGTATTGAAGCTATATTTGTGAACAAAAAAGGCATACATTTTACCCTCACGGAATTTACATTCTGAACAAGAAGAGAGGAGGACAATAAACTAAATTAATAAAATGTATGGATGACACGGATGAAGCTGGAGGACATTATGCTGAGTGAAATTAGTCAATCACAAAAGGTCATGCATTGTATAAGACCACTGTTGTAAAAAGAAAAAGTTTTCTTGATAAAAGAAACATTCGATGCTGGTTATCAGGAGTGGGAGGGAAGGAAAAACTATTCACTTGGGTGATGGGGAAGCTAATATACAAGCAGAGGGAGGTTGGCACAGGAAAGATGAAGGTAGCAGAAGACACAGGGAGGAGTGCAAGAGTTAAAGTGAATACTCGATGACGATGACATGGAGCGATGGAGCAGCTGGGGACTCTAGACCCAGAGAGAGAGAGGCTGTGTGCTGCCGAGAGGGGGCAGGCTTGCAGGGTATGTATACCCTTTGGTCAGTTGGTGATGCATAGAGGGGATTGTAACCATGGCAATGAAATGATATATGATAGGATGAATGTAAAGCTAATGTTCTCCCATGTAAAATATCACATAATTCACAATAAAACATTTTTTAAAAAGAGGTAAATACTGTTAACTGATGGTACAATGAAGTGATTGCAATCATTGTAATAACATGAAGTTTATGATTTGTTGAATATGGGACTGATGATTTGTTCTGTAAAACTTCACACAATTCACAATAAAAAGGGTGTGTTTTCTTGTTTGTTTTTCTTAAGTTAAGAAAAGGTTTTCTTGATAAAAGAATTCTATGATGGATACTAGGTGTGGAAGGGAAGGGAAAACTATTAATGGGCTAGAGTTCAGACACATGTTAAACTGATAGTATGTGGAGGGGATTTCAATTATTGTAATGAAAGGAAGTATATGAATTGTTGACTATAAAACTGATGATCTGCTTTGTAAACCTTCACTCAATTCACAATTGTTGTTGTTGTTATGTGCTGTCCAGTCAGTTCTGGCCCATAATGACTCAGTGTAAGATTTCCTAGCAACAGCTGGTGGGCTTGAACCATCAGTCATTTATCCTGTATGCTGAAGGAACATCTAGCAGAAAAAAGAAACTTAGTAGTACAGTAAACAGAAATCTATTTACTCTGTATGTTCTCTTGGTCCCAGACTCTTTATTTTTCATTTTTGCTTGCCTCAGATTTAACCACCAACTTTACATATAGTACTCTAGAGTCTTTCAGAGTTTATTAAGGAATGTTGTTATCTTTTAAAAGGCAAAAGGGACTTTGTTGATGCAATTTTAGTTAAGGATCTTGATGTGGAAAGATTATTCTAGATTATCCAGGTGGGTCCAATTTAATCAGAAAGGTCCTTGAGAGGAGATTTGATGACAGAAGCAGAAGTTGGAGTTATATGGGGTCACATGGTAAGATCAGCAGCAATGTCTAAAACTTGGAAAAGACAAGGATTCTCCTCTACCCAGAGGAATGCAGCCCAGCGTACATTTTGATTTTAACTCTGTAAAACCCATTCTTACACTTCTGACCTTTAGAACTGTAAGATAATAAATGTGTGTTGTTTTAAGTCATGGAATTTGTGGTAATTTGTTACAGGAGCAGTAGAAAATGAATATGATCCTGCTGTGTCCTCATTCTGGATCCTTGCTTCTTTCTATCCCACCTATCCAAATCCTACCCAGTTTTAGTCTCCAACAAAATTCAACAAATAATTATTGGGTACCTGTCATGTGCAAAGCATCCGGCTAGAGACCAGTAGATAGAGAAAGGATACAGGACAGAAAAATAAACAGGAAACACCTTGACTTCAAAGAGCTCACAATCTGAAGCAGACAAGTCCAGGTAGAGACTATGAACCAAGTTTGAAGACACCAGATGAGGTCATTGGTGTTAAACTGGTGTGTGCCAGCTTTTAAATCTTGTCTTGGAATTCTCCCAAATTTAAACAATCATGACTCACGTCTTCTCTACTTTTCATTTGGAGTTGAATTCAACACTTACTGAGCGTCTCCTATATGCGAGGTACTGTGTTTGGTGCCATGAAGGATATCCAGATATAAAACTCTTAGTTCCTCAACTGTATTGGGTTATTTAATTTTTTAATGTATATCTTAACTGTGGGCTTATTTGTTGTTTATTTAAGAAATGTGTATCCAGTGCCAACTTGTTTCAAGTACTAAAAAAAAAAAAAAAATCAATGATGAATAGGCAGCATCTTTATTTCAAGTGCTCACAATCTAGTTGGAAAGGATCTCAAACTAATGTTTAAAAAATAGCATGGTAAGTGTTGCAGTGGAGGAGTGTACAAAGTGCTACTGAGAGAAGTCATAATAGAGTTGTAAAGAAATGCTTCAGGGAGAAGGGGACTCCCGAGCCAGGGCTGAAAGATGAATGTTGTTGCTGTTATGTGCCGTGGAGTCGGTTCCGACTCATAGCGACCCTGTACAGGGTTTCCGAGGCTGTAAATCTTTACGGGAGCAGAAAGCCTCATCTTTCTCCCACAGAACAGCTGGTAGTTTCGAACTGCTGACCTTAAAATTCGCAGCCTGATTCGTAACCACTACACTACCAGAGCTCCTTGAAGATGTGCCAAACAGGCAAGTGAGAATAGTATGATGAGACGGTGATGACGGAAGAGATGACCAGGAAGGAAATAAAAGCATTCCTGGAGGCGGAAACAGCACAAGTGAAAATGGAGACCTAAGA